TTTCCACCTCACTTTTCAGAATTTGGGGTTCATCTTCATATGGCTCTTTGTTCCATGTGTCCATGCTGTCATTTCTTTTATATAACTCTTCTGTGTTATATGTTTTACCTGGAAATAAAAACAAACTGAGTAGAATTCATGAGTTTGTGTTAGGATAATAGAATCTTATAGATGGAAGTGACCACAAGGAATATATAGCTAAAGCAGTTGTGACAGATACCTATCCAACCTCTGTTTAAAGACCTACAAAGATGGAGAATCCACGACCCCTCAAGGCACTGTCACACCACTGTTACAGTAAGAAAAATTCTACCAAATGGCATTCTACCTAATGGAAAAGAGAGGTAGTCTCTTTTCTTGTAATTTGAATTCACTGGTTTGTGTTCTAGTCTCTGGAGCAGCACAAACCAAGCTTGCTCCTTCTCCATGGCATGGAGACAGCTATTTTAATGTTATGCCTGACATTTTCATTGTTTACCCCACAATCTACAGAGCGCAATGATAGAAATGCCCCATTTACCCTGGACCAGTCCCTGTTGGCCCAACTTCTGGATACTGTCTAGATGTAGCCTCTTGGCAGTCCCCAAACATCAAAAATGACCCTTGGGTGAAAAGAGGTTACCCTTCCCTGGTTTAGATGTATTAAACTATTGCTAGGAACACAAACTTGTGCATTTGCAAATAGAATTCCATCAAGTCACTGAATGTTAACATTTGATAGAAAAGGCACTAGTGTGATTCACAATTCCATCTGTGAGCTAGCCATATATATTCATCACTCATATGGTAAATTAAGAACTTATGCAAACATGGGGATTGTCTTGTGGCCAATAGCACAACACTTAATTCCTATTGGAGTAAGCATGTGTAAAACTAAAGAAATAAAGAAAACATTGTGATGGCTATAAGGCTGCATCCACATTGCAGAAATAATCCAGTTTGACACCACTTTAACTATCATGGCTCAGTGCTATCTGGCATTTGTGGTTTTATGAGACATTTACTCCCTTTGCAGATGGCGCAAAGCGCCGTCTTCAATCCCAGGAAGGGGAGGGGCAACTGGATGCCAGGCACCCCAACGCCTTCCTGAGGACATCACCGGAGCGCCCGTCGTTGCACATGATGGGTGCTCTGATGACATCCTTCCGGCTCAGCATCCAGACACGCTGAGCCAGAAGAGACGCCGAAGAGGCGTGTGCCACCTCTTGCAGTGCCCTTTCCATGCATTGCGGAAGGAGTGCTATTTTAGCACCAAGGCCGGAAAAAGTGGATCGGGGCTGAGGCGTGCGGCAGCCTCACCCCCAATCCGCAGCTACTTGGGGCAGCCCATGGCTGCCCGTCTGCAGAGGCCCGTAGTCTTCTCTGTCACAACTTTGTTGTGACAACAAATTAGAGTTCCCAGAAACCCATAGCACTGTGCCATAGCTGTTAAAGTGATGTTAAACTGGTTTATTTCTGCAGTGTGGGTGCTGCCAAGGAGACCCATTGTTTGGCCGCACACAAGATATGCACATAAGACAAGTGATTTCCAGATGTGCTGGACTTAGGATTGCCAAGCTTCCATTTTGTATGTTTCATTTTTTTTATGTGCCTGAGATCAGGTGCAATCCTTGCTCACCACAGATTGATCCCCTGAGCGTTTGATACGCAGGAAAATGGTGTCAAATTACATACCAGATGCTGCAGAGGTTTGCTCATACTTGGGTCAACATCACACTACATTATTATAGTGCTATTATTCCACTTTAACTGCTAGGGCTGCCTCCTGTAGAATCATTTATGGAAGCATTTATAATTCTCTGTCAAGAGTTCCTGGGCTTCCCTAAACTACAAAGTCCAGGATGCCACAGGAGGCAGTCCTAGCTGTTAAATTGGAATAATAGCACTATAAAAGTATAGTGTGATATTGACCCAAATTGCTCTTCCTGCTCTCGGCTGCTTTAGGTTCAGGTAACTGTAGCAGGCCAAAGTAAATCCTACCTCCAATCTGATAAGAGGAGGGCTTCTTGCAATAGTTTCCCTTCCAGTGAGATGTCTAACATTGGTCATTCTGGATAGAAAGTGCTATGAGTTATAGTCCAAAAAATAATAAAAGGGAATGGATTTCCTTCCCTCACTCTAAACTACTTCATAAAACACAAACATGCTTGGGGGAATCCTTGGCCAGTGCAAGCCTATCATTAGGCAGAGTGAGGCAGCTATCTCAGGCATCAGTTGTTTGTCTGCCATAATCAGGAAGGAAATTCCTATTTTCTTAGTTATTATATGTTTAGTTGTCATTGGAGGTTATTCTTTTTTTCCACTTTTGAAAAGTACCATGTTACAATAATTATTAATAAAATAATTACCTTTAAAAAACACAAAAGGAAAAAAATGACTCCTCCTCCAATAACTCATTACTCAAAATCTTGATGTCATTGTCATTACAACACTAAAAATAAAGGTGCTAATATTCATTACTCAGGGTTGTTTTTTGTTTTTAAATTCAAAGCTCTATTTATGAATGCCACCTCTCTAATGTCTCTCCACCAATGGCAAAAGCACAATTCTGAATCCAGCTCCTCAAATATGTTTTGAATGCAATATTTATACACAGGTGTTCAATACCTTTTCTTTCTTTTCTTTTTTGTCATTCATGTCCAAGGACAACTTTGGACCTTCAGATGAAGGGTGCCTTCATCTGCCGTGTCTTCCTAATAATAGGCAAGTGTAAAACTAGGGGGCTAAATAGCATCTTTGAGCTGATGATAGCAGCCCAAGTCCCTTGACATGGCTCCCAAGGTAAGCCGATGAACATGCTTAGAGCAAGACTTCAGCTGAGAAGTGTTATCTATCTACTCAAAGACAATGTAATTTGTAGGACTGCAGGGTACAGAATTTTGCAATGTTGTTTTAATGGCATTAGAGTGTAATCGGCAACACCCACTTCCACATGTTGGTTGCATTTATGCCTCAGAGAAACCAGAAAATTTGTAACATCAGATCTGGCAAAGGGCCAGATTTCCACAGGGCATTAGTAACAAACTGGTGAAGCTCATTAAAAAGAGAGAGAGAGAAAGGGAGAAACCTATAACCATTAAAAGTCCATTAAGCAGCATGTCATTTTGTAGAGCTAAATAGCCCACAGTAATCAAAAGCATATGAACCCCAGCTGGGTTACCCAGCGAATTGTTTCGATTTAGGGGGAGAATTCATCAAGAAAGATTGCTCTTCAGATTGGGTTGATTTTTCTCCTTCAGTTGCTAGCTCTATGTTCCATTATAATTAAAGTGATTGATGGATCTAGCAGGCAGAGGTGAGGAGCAACTAAAATAGCCAGGAACATCCACTCAAGCCAAGTCAAGCAACAACAGCAGCTCTATGGAACTCCTGCAGCAAAACACATCACTTGAGTTCATTCCCCTATTCTCAGTTAGATATGGGGCAGGCTAGCAGGGGCAAGGAGAAATTTCCCCTACTCTCTCTCCTAAGTCATTTCCAGAGTCATAATTTCTATTCACCAACGGAGAAGATGGGTGAGAGCAGAAAGGAGATCTAGAAAAATGTAGGCTGCATTGGCACTGCCAAATTAATGCAGTTTGACACCACTTTAACTGTGATGGCTTAACGCTATGGATTCCTGGGATTTGTAGTTTGTTGTGGCACCAGAGCTCTCTAACAGAGAAGGCCACAAATCCCAGAATTCCATAGCATTCAGTCACGGCAGTTAAAACAGTGTCAAACTGCATTAATTCTGCAGTTCAGATGCAGCCTAAGTTTGTCATCAACACACTGAAACACTACTTGCCCCTACAGCTTCATCAGGATGTTGGATGAATATTACTATTAATCATAATATTAGTGACATATAAGAACATTTCATACCATTTTTTAAAAAAAAAGTCACAAAGCTGTTTATGATTAAAAAACAGCAATTGCTAAACATAAACAAATATTAAAACAAAGCATTCAAAATAAGAAAAATACAAACAAAGTCTTTCATTGATAACAGAAACACCCCACACTTTATTATTCCATAACATGGATGCCTTATTGGAGAGGTCATTATTATTAATGTTATTATTAATAATCAACAGTTTGATGGAGCCATCAGCATTGTGTTGGTTTTCAGTGTGTGGATGACAAACATATGTTGCCAAGTCTCTTTTTTATTCTTTCCCAATAATCCAGTGCTATTATTATTATTCGTGATAATATTGCTACCTTACCTATTTAGTGAGTAGTAGCAAAGAAAAACATGCTGCAGGACCCTATGTAATGCTTAGGGATTAATATATTACAGGGTTTGCATTCATCAAAAATGGATCACCTGATGCCATTAAGATTTTTGTCTTTAAGGGGTTTTAGGATTCTCAAATACAGGCATTGACAACTATGATAAGCCCAGGGGTCCTTTCACATTCACATCTTTGCTGCCTTACTATATAGTGCAATAGTCATTTTAACTGCACGGTCCATGATTCATAGGATGTTCCCATCACAGTTAAATTGGGATCATAGTGCTTTCAGTGTGACAGGTCCTAGGAGCTAAGTTTCTGTTCTGAGACCTCTCAGGAACCACATGAACAGCCAAAAATGTCCCCAAAATGTGTGGGGGCTAAAGTGGATGTGGTCACATGTCTGCTTCCAGACACATTGATGTATTGGATGTTAAAGGGGGTCTGAAACTTGAGATAGCATTTAGAAATACAATTTAGGGATCCAAAGAAAAGGAGTAAGCACATTTACCTCAGGAGAGTGAATACAGCAAGTATAAAAGTTCTAGGTGTAAATGACATCTCGCTCTGCAATGCTAGAAATCTAAAGACGGAAGGAAAATTTCATTGGGGGACAGAATTCTTACTTGGGGGCAGTGCCCTAAACCCCCCCAATACACCCCTGACACAATTTAACCCACTACAATGACTCTTGAGTAATTGCACTGAGTCTTCTTTTGACCTCAGCCTTGTAATTCCCCATTGCTGGGAGACTAATGAAAAGTAAGTAGTGTAGCAGAGAGAGCCACTGTGGTGTAGTGGTTTGAGTGTTGAACTATGACTCTGGAGTGCAGGGTTCAAATCCCTGCTCAGACATGAAAATCCACTGGGTGACCTTGGGCAAGAAACCCTCTCTCAGCCTCAGAGGATAGCAACATCAATCCCCCTCTGAAGAAACTTGCCACAAAAACCCTGTGATAGGTTTGCCTTAAGGTCACCATAAGTCGGAAATAACTTGAAGGCACACAACACGCATACACAGTGTTGCAGAAGTTCAAGAGAAGGTGGCTTTAGGAAAGACCTAATATAATATTTGTTGGGTCTTTGGCATTGTGGCTCATTTCATTAATATTTCAATTAATACCTTGATTCTGGAGAAGGATTAATGTTGAAAATCCATATTAAATCAATCACTTTTGTTAGTGAGAATATTAGAAAAGTCAGGGAAGGACAACTTGATTAAACTTAATTTTTAATCAAGTAGCAATTTCTAGGAACTGATTTGAATTAGTCTATTTTCATCACTGGATGGGAAGTTCCCCTCACTTCTGCATTGCTTTCATTGGCCAGCGCACCAAAGACAGTATCTAATTGGTTCAGATTATTAACACTTATTTCACCCTTGGAAAAATGCCTTCATTAAAAATGGCATACATGTTGCTGCAGCCTTGGCTACAACTTGCAATGCTTTCTTTTCCTGGGTGACTCTTGTCCCCACCTGGAGACTGTGCTCTGCATCTGGAGGGTCAGAGGCTGGAAAACATCAATAAGTTTCATAGACTCCAGGTGGGGAGTGAAGAGCTGGAAACCCTAACCAAGCCACATTACTACTAATGACAATGTGTCAGAATTCATTTATCATAATAGTGAAAAATTAACATTTAGGGGCCTTATTTCATTTGGATCATAAATTAAAGTTATTGTGCCTTTGTTCATCATGAAATTAACAAATTACCAGTAACGTGTTAATTGTAATGTGTTAATTTCAAAGTCTGGCAATGCCATCTTATTCTTCACCTTAGGCACTAAAATATTTTGGACCAGACCTAGCACCTTTACAACAGATTCATCTGGTGACAGTCTTCCTTCTCCAGTGAAGTATACTAAATATCTATTAAATAATAGCAATTATTTGTAAATGTGCATCTATGCGTAGAAGTGAATATGAGCACATTTTACACAAATCAGTTTCATTTTTTTGTCTTCTTTTTGGTTATGCATTTCTTTTGTCCAGTGATGTGAATGTGACATAATAGTCAGTAGTAGTACATGTATGGCCATTGCTCATTTCCCTGTGTCTTGTAAAAATCTTAGGACTGAAACAACAACAAGAAGAAAAATGGCCAAATCCCAAAAGATCAGAAACAAAGAAGGCATGTAAAAAGAAGCCAAAGTGAGATGCATCAATTTATGTAGTTTTATGCCCCATACTTTAATTAAACTCTAGGGGATTATCACCTAATTCAGTGAAAACAGAGAGATTTGATTGCATGATTCTGTCTGATAACATAAAAGGGCACAAATTCAAGTTTCATAGCAATTGGTAGAAAACTGTTATACAAGAAAGGATAAATCTGACTGTTAACAAGCCAAATCCAATGGGAGAAACAAAATTGGGGGAGGAACAAATCCATCATAGATTCTTTCTCTCTCTCTCCTTTGTATGGGGAATCCTGTGGGAATTTAACTGAAACTAAGGAATTATTTAAACAAGAAAGCAGAAGTTAGCACCAGTTAATGACCAGTTTGTTAGCTAACAGGCTGTTAACACTCCAGCAAACTGGTTGTTAAAAGTGGTTACTGCTTATTTTGTTGGAAATTTATTAGAAACTTATTTTAAAGATTTAATGGGGAGGGAATCACTTTAATGTGCACACCTGGAACTCTACAAAGCTATACAATCAAGGATTAAGGTGTTCTGCTTGGATTTAAATGAAATTAATACAAATAAGTCTTACCCAGCAACAGTTCTCTTACCATCCTTTCCCCCTCCAAAGTAATAAGGCTATCAGAAGAGTACTGATTCTTTAATAGATTCATAGCTAATAAGACCCACTTGAACACTCATTATTTAGTAGTATCATTATGATAAGTGGGCCTGATCGGTCTTCACCAGCCCAGTGCAAATCTCATAATTATTAGACAAAACTTTGATAAAAATCATAACAGTCTCTCAGGGGGTTTCATCCATTTGCATATCCTTGAGTGAGTAATAAAAGATATGCATTTATTAAAACAAGAGTTTGCAATGCAGGAGCACTGTTCCAGATTTCTTAAAGTGGAATATTGATCATGCATTTAGAGTGTTGGTTTTTTTCTCTCTCTCATACTATCTGAAAAGCAGACTGTAATTTTATCCTCAGAAACACCACAGGAACCATGCTAACATGAGAGGCTGTGTGAAGACTGCCAAGGGCTGCTTAAGAACATTCAGGCTAGACATGTGTTTGTCTGTTTGCCTACTTGTATATAAATTAGAGAGAGGAAACTAATTTGTTATAGACTGATTTTTACAACTGAAGATGAGTGCCAGTGAGGAGAACTGAACCCAGTTCTAGGCTTGCAGGGGGATGGGGCCTTAGCCAAGGTGACTGACCCAACAGTTACCTGGCTTGTCTGGTAGTAGTAGCTGCAATCACTACTGGATGGCTTGAATTTCCCACAGTGCCTCCTATAGAACATCATTCCAAGGCAGTGGTGTCACTACGGTGCATGGGGGTGTGGACAACACCTAGTGACATCCAAGGTGGTGTCATCTGATGGGATGGTACACCTGGAGGAACTGGCATGGCTACTGGTCAAGTGAGAAAGGGCACTTTCCTGTTTACCCAGCAGCCCAACAGGTTCCCAAACAGACCTTCTAGAGGCTGCATTACCACCTTCCTCAGTTGTGCTTTCAGAGTCCCATGCAGCAACCGCCACATGGGATTCTGAAGGCTAACCAAAAGTTGTCATTTAATTATACTGATTTTTTAAATCCAGTTTGATTGACTTAAGTTGAAATTCCAGTACTGAGGGCCAATGCAAACCAGCACTATAGGCCAGCCTGGGGGTGAAGTTGGGGCCGGCGACAGCACACCAACCACCCCGACTCTGTCCCAACTCCGCCCCAACACCACACACCCATCCACATGACACGTGGCATCAGGGTGCCCTCTTGGGCACAATGGGTCAGAAGGAAGTACAGGCATCCCTTCCCATTCACAGACTTGGGGTCTGCAATCTTGCTCTTCATGGACGGCGAGCAGAGAGGGACCAAAATGGTGTACATGTGCAAGAGCCATTGCAGCCATGGAAATCAATGGGACCCCAATATTGGCGACTTTTCTAATTCATGGAGGGGGTCTGGAACGGATCCCTCATGAATCAGAAGGGACGACTGTAAAGACATTTTTTCAGTTTAATTCATGTGAAGCTTTTCATATATTTAACTTAAATTTAGAGGGCAATTTGATATACAGTCTGCCTTCCACATTTGTGGGGAGTAAGTATACAAGACCCCCTTGAAAGTGGAAAAACTGCAAATACAGGAAAAAACATGGAGGAGGAGGGTGTGCATACTCTTCCAGGCTGCTCCATATCTGGACTTTTTTTCCCTCTCATTGGAGGGGGGGACCCAGGGTGGAGGAGGAGGTGGGCACACATGCTCTTCCAGACTGTGCAGGGGGGAAGCACAGTTGCCCTTCAGACAAACTTGCGAATAATCAAATCCACAAATGTTAAACTTATGAATGTGGAGGTCCAACTGTAAAATTGCCCCTTCTAATGAAAATATAGTTAAAGTGCCATATATACTTGATTATAAGTCAGGGGTAGGCAACCTTTCCCCTTTAAGGGCCGAGGGACTTCAGCTCCCAAAAGCCTCAGCTATGTTGGCCAATAGTCCCATGTTGGCCAAAAGCTCCTGGGATTCTGGGAGCTGAAGTCCCTCAGCCCTTAAAGGGGAAACGTTGCCTAACCCTGTTATAAGTTGACTTCATGTATAAGTCGAGGGCAGCATTTGGAACCAAAATTATGGATTTTGACATAATTCATGGATAGGTTGAGGGTAAAACTTAGAGACATGAACAAAGGATGCAAAGGATGAAGCAACAGAAAACAATGCCAAGAAACCTACAAAACCTCCAGCAGGCATGTTTATGCTCATACTAAAGGCTAGCTGGATGAAAGAATAGAGGAGGGTCAGTGATTCCAGGTGAGATTACACTCTTGCCCTTTGCTAGGTGATGATTCTTTTTTTAAATAAGAGTTAAAATACAATACCTGCATTGACCTGTGGATATGTCAACTCAGTTTTTTGAGATCAATTTTTTGACTAAAATTTCTAGACTTATACATGAGTATATACAGTAGATCTTTTAGCTCATTAGATGAATAATTGCCCCTTTTCTACAGTTTTTTTTTAATCTCTGACATAGGTCCTGAAGAATGACATCAACAATGGTTTACCCTGATAGGAAACTGAATCTTCAGGCTAGGCCCAAGGGTAGTTGCCCACTAGCATCATTAAGATCTTTCTTCTCATTACAAGCAAAAATTCAGGGAGGATTTTTCTCAAGATTGTGACAAAGAGTGTGAGAGCCAGCATGACACACTGGTTTGATCATTGGAGTATGACTGGAGAGCAGGATTCAAATCCCCATTCAGACATGCAAACCCACTGGATGACCTTAGGCAAGTCACACACACTCAGCCTCAGAGGATGGCAATGGCAAACCCCCTCTGAAGAAATCTGTCAAGAAAACACCATGATAGGTTCACCTTAGGGTAGGCATAAGTAACACACATGGCAGAGAGCACAGCAGAGAGACTGTTTCCTCTTCCTCCACATTCCAAATCTTGCTCCCCTTCACTGTAAACTGGCTTTTTATATTTTGAAAGCTATCACATCCAATGCTTTAGGGCTCATTTCCTTGTGATAATTACATAGACCGCTGAATGTTGGATCATTAAGATAGTATTCCAAATAGTCCTGGAGGTAAATAAAGAAAGAAAACGTATTACTTGTAATTAATTCATTTTCCTTATAACAAAAAAAAAAAAAAAAAAAAACAGGAGGTTGTGTACATGGGCCAAAAGGCCTGTGTTCCTCCCGG